AGAGCCTCGCGATCCCCGTCCGGTGCGCGAGCTGTGTTGCCTGGCTGACGGAGCAGGGGAAGCGGACTTATGGCGGCGTGGCTGTTGCTGTTGCTGTTGCTGCTGATGCGGAGGCGGAGGCGGAGGCGGAGGCGGAGAGCGGGGGGAGGAGGAGGAGGAGGAGGGTCAAGGGCGGGGCGAGGAGGATCAAGATGGAGAGGGTTGTCACTTCGGGCAGTGAGGGGAGTGGCGGTGGTGGTGGTGGTGGTGAGCACAGTGACAGCGAGGGCGACGAGCCGGAGCCGACGCCGGAGGAGGTTTCGGGGCCGCCGGTGCGGCGGCGGCCTGGGGATCGGAGGCATGCCGGCATGCTACCGCCTCCTCTGGGGTACACGATCCAAGGGAGGCGAGGAGGGGGCGAGGTGGTTCGGGTAAAGGCTGGCTGGCTGGCTGCGCGAGGTTTGGGGGGCAGCAGCGGGTGAATCGTGTTTGGGGGTCTTTGGGCGCGGTGCTCGACGGGTGAACGGCAACGGCCACAAGCCCGCATGGATGTGATTTCGACCCCGGGAGATTTTGAAGACGAATGATGGCGGGACACATGCTTGGTGGGGCTTATGCGTAGATGGAGGCTGTGGAAGTTGGGTTTTGGGACAGGGGGTTCTATGATTTGCCATGGGGTATGACATGCTTTACCAACCCTGCTATGCCAAAAGCAACGCATGATCCCAACCCACCGGCCCGGCCCCTATCGTTGTATCGTTGTCAACAAAATCTTGCCGCGCCGCCCGAACGCCTTTGTCCAAGCCAATTGCCCAAAGAATCGCTCTACTTCGACCTCTGCAGCGCGGCCAGGCGGTCGTGCTCCTCGATATCCCTGGCCAATCAAAAAGTCAGTAAGGCAAACCAGCCCCCCGCAACGCCCCAAAACACATTGCAAGCCAAAAGGGGAGTGATGCAAACTCACGTCGCCTCCCACGGATAATTAATCCACACATCCCCCACCGTCACCGCGGCCAAATACCGGCCCCCCTCCATCATCTCCCGCGGCAAACTGCCCTTCTTCCCCTTGCCCTTGTTATGCAGCACGAAGATCGAGAACTGCGTCGCCTCCCCGCCCCGGCCGGCCTCCCGCGCCGCCGTCGCCACATCCTTCTCCAGCTCCTTGACCGCGTACTCCAGCGTCGTCCGCGTATCGTCCACCTCGTCCACAATCAGCACGTTCTTGCCGATCAGGTTCGCCATCTCCAGGCTGCCGAGGTCGAGCCACTGCGTGCGCGTGACCTTCGTGCCGGGCGCCTCGATCTGCGTCTCGGTGGCGGCGGCGCCGTCGTCTGCCGTGCCGAGGGATTCGTAGAGGGAGAGGCCGATGGCCTGGATGGGGATGTTGGCGCTGCCGGGCTGCTTGAGGAAGGAGCGCAGGATGCGCGCGGGCACGTAGCCGCCGCCGCCGATGGCGATCTACCCATACCGAAGGGTATAAGTCAGCTTATGTCTCAGAGATGGGGTTATACCCTCTGCACTTACGATGAGGTTGGGCTTGAAGGCGGCGAGGATGCGCGGGGCCGAGGCTTGGCAGAGTTGGTGGACCTGGAAGGACAGACGGGGGATGTATCAGTTTCGAGGTCCCGTGGCGAGGAAAACGTTGGTGTAATGCGGCGGAGAATCGAGATATTTCCTGTACGCGGTACTGCATGGTGGAAGCCTGCGCTTTTCAACTCACCTCGTTGTAGGTCACGTACACTTTCTCGACCATCTTGGCGGTAATTGTCTGCCGGGCTTGTTAGGAATGGTAAAAGCAGGCAGGCGGGTGCTAGATATACGTACCTCCAAAAGAGAGAAGGAAAGAAGAGGAAAGGGAATCAACATTCACATGCTTTCGAAACTTTTCGAGTCGCAACAGGGCCCGAGCGTCTTTTCGACACACCCCGCCAAAGCAACCCCTCCTTCCCCATTCGGAATATCTACATGTGAGAAGCACCGGTGAACTTGGGGAAGACGGCATTCAATTCAATGTTTATAGTGCAACGGGTGAGTGGCCATGCAATGGTTGTTGCCACCATATACAAAACGGTCGTCCACTTCTAATAATCCGCCGGAACACCACGCTAATCTCAAGAAACGAGAAAGACCATCTTTGTCATCTGCCCACCGTAGCGTGGTTATGGCTGCGCATCATCCACCATCTCGTAAAAGAGCAAATACACCTCCCTCTGCATCGCCAAAACATCCCCCGTCTTGCCCTCCTTGACCTTGTCGTCGCTGATGCGCCACCACCTGTCGTGAACCCTGCGCTTCCTGCTCGGTAGCTTGATAGCGCTGGCGATGCTGGACTGCCTTCGTGTCGCGTCGACCGACTGCCTATCGCCCGGCAGACTCGGTAGGCCGGGCGTGGGTATAGCATCCAGCGGCACGCTCGTCGGCGGCGGCGGCTTCCGTCGTTCAGGTAGGTTCGATGCGTGGAGCGAGCGCGAAGACACGGAAGAGCTCGAAGGCGAGTCCGGCGTCCATAGCGATGATAAGTCCGAAGTACCGGGTAACGACGGCCCGCCTTCACCCACTGCATCTCGCGACAAGCGAGCACTGAGGCGCGGACTCGGCGCTGCCGACATTCTGGGGCTGGGTGCCGGGCTCGGCCGCAAACTGTATATCCCATCCTTGCCCATGGAAGTCGGCGTCGAGTATGGTGGACTCAGAAACTGACGCCGGAACGTCTCGTAGTGCCCGCTGTTGTGCCCGCCCTTATGCGTGACCACGCTCAGCAGACGATATGTCTTGCGGTCGAGGAGCCCGCCCAGTGGCAGCATCTCCGGAAACGCCACCTTGGCCATGTTCTTCGACGAGGAGGAGTGCGGGTCCCAGACGGAGCGGCTGAGGTGGACGGCGAGCACACGTGGGAAGTCGGAGATGCGTGTGTGCCTCGCTATCCTGCGTTTAGGCGTGGCCGAAGAATCGGGCAGTCTCACGTCCGCAGGCGGCTTCTCAGGGTCGTCCTCCAGAGCAGCCTCCAGCTTGCTTCTGTCCTGCTCAAGCGCCGCTCTATCCTTGGCTGAGATGCTAAGCTTGGCAAGCTGCTTGTCGTTGACCTGAAGGGCATGCTCAAGTCTGCATTTGTCGCAAATGAAGTCGTCAATATGCTCGACCTTGAGCAGGCCGTCAAAGCACGCATTCAGCGTCGTCGAGCCTGAGCCGTGCGGCACGTGAAGCGTCAGGCTCACGAATGAGGATATCGATGGTTTGGGCTTGAAGTGACAATGCGAGCACTCCACTTGCGACTCCAGCTTGCCTTCGAACGGGAACGATGGGCCGTCGTTTGCATCATCACCAATGCTCGGCTCTGCATTCTCAGAGCTAGGCTGGGCCGCTCCGTCTTGTGGTAGGTCAAGCTTGCTGTCACGTACTGTATCGTCGGTCCCTGGAATTTGGAGATTGTAGCCCGAGGGTTGCGTATCTTGTTGAACATTGATTGCCAGGTCTTCATTGTCGGACTCAGAATCCGCACTTGAGACAACCGTCGAGACGCCATCATCATCTAGCTTCCGGCGAGCTCTCCTCCTGACTCGGCGCGCCGCGGCATGCTCATCGGCGAGCCTCTCCGCCACGATCTGCAAAAACTCCTGCGCATCCTGCTGTGTTCTATTGATCCTCGTCCTGAATGACTCCTCCACCACGCGTATAAAGGCCTGCGCACTGATGGTCTTCTTATAAATCGGCCGCTCATTGAGCGCATCCAGCACCTCCTTCAAGCCAGCAGTGATGTGACCCTGCTGCAAGCTCAACATCTTCCACTCTGGCGTCTGCTTGCTACTATTGCTCTTCTGTTGCTCCTCCAATGCCGCTGTGAGGTCCTGATACAACTCCGGCCCATCCAACCTCCTCCGGTGTGTCTCCCGGATCAGGTATAATCGTAGCTCCGGCAGCCCAGCCAGTGCTTGCAGTACACTGTTGATGAAGCAATCGTTCGCCGGATTCACCAGGCCCACTACACCCTTCTTCCTGCTGGACTTCGAGCTGTTTGCGGCATCGTCATCCAGGAAGAAGGTAGGCCCAAACACGTAGACCAGTGTGATTGCTGCCAGGGACGCGCCAGCAGCATACGTCGCGATCGTCAACGGTCGTTCGGGCATCCTCCTCGTCGCTCCAGTCCCAGCAACTGCTATGAGCGCCGCTTCGCGCTGAATGTGTGCTCCCGCCAATGCCGTGTTCGTTGTCGTTGTGAAGGCGCCGGCAAGGAGGTCCCAGGCGTAAGCTCCATAACGCGCAAGTAATGAGCCCGATTCGTCCAGCGCGGATGTGTATCTCTCCTATTGTCCGAGAGGCAGACAAGGCGGCAATGGCAAGGCGTGATGGTGGAGTGAAGGTGTGCCTTCCTCGGCGAAGGACGAGCTGTCGGCTTAAACGTTTCTCGAAAGCCGAGCCGCCAAGAGTCTCTGGAAGGCTTCACCATTCTTCGCAACTCCAGTCTCTGCATCCCACTTGTCGCACTACCCAAACACCACTTCACAGATACCATCATGCCTTCCGGAGCAGGCAGTATGTCTCGGATCTGCACCTAAGCCACCAAGGATCGCACACCGGCTAACGAGGTGCACAGCGGGTACCAACCCCATCCACAACAAGAAGCCCAAGAAGAAGCCGGCGGGCGAGGAAGATGAGGAGGACAAGGCATACAAGCTGAAGGCGGCCTCTGGTACGTGTGCGCATACATAAGTGGCAACCTGACAGTGCTGACGATACGGTCTGTGCAGACAAGAAGGCCCGCGAGGAGATGGCCAAGAAGGCTGCGGGCAAGGGTCCGCTGAACGCAGGCCAGCAGGGCATCAAGAAGAGTGGCAAGAAATGAGCGCGATGTCGAGTTGCGGCTATCACGAGCAGACGAGCGGATGATGCATGGACGCGGTGGCGTAGAGTCTCCGCGTGGGCGTTCGGTGTGCAGAATACTTCTTGATACCCTACAAATCAGAAACGTGAAACTGCGGGCCTGTAACTTCTCACCCAAAGAGTGTAAGGAGCAAAAGATACGTTGGAGAAGGCCGGAGTCGAACCAGCGTCCCTACTCTCCGGGTGCGGTGACGGTCCCCTCGGAGGACCAGAGCAGGATCTTACCCTTGGACCACATCCCCGGTGTGTCTATGAGGTTGACGAAATGTGTTTACGCTATATAAGCACACGGCTGATGCTCGGGGAGAAGAAGTGAGGTTCGGAAGTAAAAGCAGTTCGGGAGGCGAAGTTGAAAAAGACCACCGATTGCCCGGCACTTCATTACGGTGTCATGACTTCCCGCAGCAGGTCGGTGGATGGGTAAGTGCCCATTTCATCGAGGAACGCAAAAAGGATATGTGGAGAAGGCCGGAATCGAACAGGCATCCCTGCGTACTGCGGATTCGCGCAACCCGCACCTGGAAGGCACCGCCTCCCAGGTGACGCAGGATCTTACCATTGGACCACATCCCCGATGCTGATCTGTGTGCAAAGTGCTGGATAGATAGAGGCTGTAGACCGCAAGCCGAAGAGGTGGCGAGGGGCTGGGATGGTCTGCAGGTTGGACGGGTAGCTGCAGCTAAAATGTTTGCTCGATGCTTGGGCAGAGTGGGATGTCGGTTCATCGATCTGTCGTGGAACGATGCACAACGTCCTAGGCCTGTTGTCAGCCACGATGCCGTGTGATCAGCGGATATGGTTCCTTACAGTTGGGTGCTGGCTTGCTGGACTCGACTTCGACGGTCCAGGAGTCGACCCGAATCTACTCTTTCCAGCGCGTCCGACTTGTCACTAATACCTCAGCACGCCATGGCAGCACCAGGTTTCGGATTCTCGGTCGGAGACTTCATCTCAGCAATCCAGCTTCTCATCCAGGTCACAGACGCCTTGCGAGCCTCGAGCACGGTCTCAGCAGAATGTCGCTCCGCCGTCAGCTTCCTGGAGGGCGTGCAGTATACCTTAAGCAGAGTACAAGACATAGTACCGACCGCCAGTGTTGAGATGGAAGACAAGCAACAACTACGGACTTGCGTACAGCTGTGCTGCGAGCAAGTTATACGGACATTGCAGCGTCTCCAGAGATACCATGCAGTCTTCTCAACTTCAAACCTGGACCGAGGCGGCTTCCGCCAACGGATGAGAACGAGTACCGCGAAAGTGAAATGGTCGCTTACGGTAAAAGATGACCTGGCAGAGCTGATGACTGCCATTGCTCCTCAGCTTGGACATATGAGTCTCTTCTTGCAGCTTGCGGAGTCTCGAAGCACGGCGCTGGCCAGAGATAGACAGGACGCTTTACTCCAGACTAGTCAGAACACCCAGATGCAAGTGGAGAGGCTTGTAGCATACTTCGAGATCAATGCCAATCCTGGGGCGGAGAGATTAGACAGCCGCGCTGAGCCGGAGCAAAGCCATGCGATCAATTCTGGTACGCGGCAAAGAGCTGTCGCCTGCCGTTGTGCAGGGTCATCACCACCTGAAGGGACTGGTATTGTCAGCAACGTCCCAAAGGTAATCGATGGCTTTGAGAAACCTGTGTTTGTGGTCTTCTGCTGTTTCTGGCAATGGGCCAACCGGCTCGCTCACGCCTGCACAACCGTGCCAATTGGCCCATCCATGCAAATCGATACCAACATTGTCCTAACGGATGCACTCGGTCGAACGCTAAACTTACCATACGAGCACTTCAACGACTGGACGATGATCACAGCAAGACTCAAAGTAGCCTTCAAAGGCTGTGCTGGCGAGCACCACGTCTCTCATGGCAACTTCGTTATCCTCAGAGTGCAAGGTCGGCACGAACTCCTGCATGAGAAGAACTGGCAAAGGAACGTAGGACCTGGTACTAAGGTGGTCATGGCTATGATTGTGAAGCAGCAAGGTTTCACCGCGGACCAGTGCCCGAGATGTGGCTGCCCTGCGGACATACCTGATAAGTTTGGATGGTCAAATTGGTATGGCGTATAGCTTGGGGAGCATAAGGGTAGTGCTGACACTCGCCAGTCGTGAATGCGAAGTACAACACAGACTGTCGCTGCCAGTCGTTCCTCCCCAGCAGCCTCGCGCTGTTATCCTTCGTGACAAGACTACGGATCACGGCGACAATAAGCGACTCATATCTGCAGCTGAGCTCAACCGGATGGCTCAACAAGAACAAGGGGATCTTCATGCTTTCAGGTTCGTACATTGGACCGCGTTCCCGTGCAGGTATTGCGACCAGCGATTTACAACAGCCATTGAGGTGGTGAGGCACATCAAGACAGATCATGCGGGTGAAGATCAGGGTTTGAACAGAGTAGGTGCCCTCTGATGCATCTAAATCTCAAGACCATTCCGATGATCTCAATCAAAACCGGCACCAGACTCGGGCGACCATGTGGTGTTCACAAAAAGCGCTTGCCACCGCCCCTGAACCGCTCGCGACGTTCCACGAACGTCTCGCGTAGGCCCCCAATAAGCCCGCCGTCTCTGCGGCCACTGCTCCCGCCACTGTCCGCACCTCCTCCACGGCCGGCGCCGTCCTTTTCGTCCTTGCTTTCCTCCGGTGGCGCCGTTGGATCCTTGCCGCACCATTCGCATACTGGTGTGAGGCCGGGCGCGGCTTCGTGCCTGTCCTGGACGTAGGGGCAATACCTTGGATCGCTTCCCGCGGCCGCAATCGCTGCCTCATACTCCTGCCTTACCCATAGCGTCTCGTTAGCTAGGTCTTCCTCGTGAGCCCCCAGCTCCGACGGATCGTCGCCTCCCAAGAATGTTACACGTTGGCAACTGCGGCATCTCAAGGAGTAGACTCTGCACATCTCTTGAAAGCGGCGACGTGTGAGTGTGTGGTCCTGGCCCGTCGTGACGAAAGCAGCGTCTTGCGCTGGTGATATAACAACATGGCTACAATGAGAGCAGGATCCATCTCGCGTCGCCTTCAGTCTGAACCATGCGCCAAACTTCATTATGACTCTGCAAGCATCTGGAAAGATCCAGATTGATATGGTGGAATCTCATTCATCAGACCTTTGTCCTGGTCTGAGACAATAACAGCGCTGCGCGAGTCATTGCTTGGTCGCTAGGCAGAGAGACGGGCAGCCGATGCAGCGATAGACAGCTTCCAGTATGCAGTAGTATCATCGGTTATCCGCAAGCGAAGCGGCTAGTATGGTAGTAGTATCGACTGATGTACCATACCGTATCATACCGTACCGTATCATACCGTACCGTATCATACCGTACCGTACCAATACTACCTCTGTCCCTATGCCCGATTGAGAAGCGGATAATTACTATGGACGAGGATCCGAACGCTCAGCTGGAAGCTATCCAAATGACCCGTTCAAGCACATCCGAGATGGCAGGGACATGGCGTCTCGGTTCTTGAAGGGTATACGCAGCAGGAAGCGCTCCCTTACTCGTAGTGTTGGCCGACAAGACGGCCCACATATGGACGTAGCGTACACTACCTAGATATTAGGTGACAGCTGATCATACTTGACACACATCTCCACGCTCTCCACGCTGGCCTGCAAGAACTTTCTCGCCTCCAAACCTACCCAGACCTTCGCCATAGACAGATCACCAGATCGCAGCATACCAGCGCCGCTCTGTGCACCCAACTGTCGTAGGATCGGTAGAGCACTGCAATTTGTCAGCAACAAGATCCCAATCAAAGCGAACGAAACTGTAAGACTCACCCCGAAAACAGATCCAGATCTGGATCCAAACTCCTTCCGATCCCCTCCAACAACAAGATAGATAGTACAACATTGACGAAATCGCCTTCCAGCCTGACATGGTGACCCCTGACCATGCTAAGCACTTCATTCAAGATATCACCAATCTTGATATTGCCCAACGCAAAGGTCTGACTTTTCACACCCAAGACGAGATGTTGCATCTTCAGCGCAAACACCTCCTTATCGATGACTGCGTCAGGCTGTCGACACCGCTCCGTCATGAGATGGCCGGCCTTGTAGCCATCAAACTCCGCTATAGATTTGAAGAGGTCGAGGAAGTTCTTGCGATTCTCCTCGTTCAGCTGTGTGACCAAGCCCGTGTCGATGAAGATCAGTTGCGGTCTGTAGCCTTCTTTGTCGATCTGTGCCAGTGTCCGGGTCCAGGCATCCTTCTCCTGTCGGTGAGGTCGCAAGCGCTCCAGTACGTCTTCCGTGACGTCTTTGCTGGTGTTGGGGTTCGCTTTGGGCCTGCCCTTGAGCGTCGTGAGATTCATGCCCACGTCGAACGGTTCCGGTTTGTAGAAGCGGACCATGATATTTCCGGGATGCAAATCGGCGTGGATGAAGTTGTCGATAAGCAGCATGTGCAAAAAGGCGTCTAGACCTTCGTCCGCGATCTCCTTCTGGAACACGCCACCGCCGTTTTGTAGGAAGTGCTCGAGGGGGATGCCTGTAGCATACTCCTCGACGAGCACTTGCCGGGTCGTGTACTGACCATGAGGGTAGGGAAACCAGGCAGTCGACCGGTTACGGAAGTTGCGCCGGAAGATCATGAGGTTGGCTGACTCTATGCGCAAGTCGAGCTGCAGGCGCATCATCTCGCCGAATTGCGTGACCTCGTCTGGGAAGCTCAGCCACTCCATCGTAGGGATGGCGTTGATGATGCTTGCGAAGGCGCCCATGATGCGCAGGTCACGCCGAACCATGCGCTCGATCTTCGGGTGTAGGACCTTGATCGCGACATAGCTGGAAGGCACTCTGTGGGGTGTGCTCTTCAATAGCGGGTCAACTCTCTTGAACGCTCGCTCACGCAACGTCTGCGGTTCCGTGGACGCATCATCCTCGGAGCCCGCCAGATCAGGTTTGAGCTTGGCCTTGTAGACTTGTGCGATCGCACCAACACCCAATGGCTTCTCGTGAAACTCCTCGAAGATGTCCTCGAACTTCCTGCCGAAAGCCTTCTCTATCGTCTGCTTCGTAACCTTCAACGAGTGCGCAGGCGCGTCGGAGTGCAGAGCAGACATGATCGAGCACATCTCGGTTGGGAAGATGTCCGTTCTGCTCGCCGCCCACTGGCCGAGCTTGATGAACGCGGCACCTGCGCGCTCCATGGACGCGACCAAGAAGCCATACCACCATAGCGTGCCCGTCCGCTCGTTGTCCCGGTCCGGCCGTCTCGCGCCAATCCACATGACCGG